TTTGACTAATCCAGTCATCAGAGCTTCTCCGCATATGTGTAACCTTAAAATCAAGTTCAAGACATCCCTTCATGGCTTCTTGAGAAGTGCAGCATTAGCCGCATATTAAATTACCGTATTTCCCATCGATACAAAAAAGCAAAGTCCACCTGAAAAACCAACATTGCGCCTTATGTAATGAAAAACGAAGAAATTTCGAATTGTTTCAAATTACCTATGTATACCGTAATATTGCGAAAATAAATTAATCTGAAACCATGTACATTGCAATATCGGTGAATAAAAGGGTTAATATAAAGGGTTAATATAACAAAATACGAAAAAAATAAAATGTTAAATAACATTTGTTGTACACATGTATTACAGTTAAGTTACTCAAAACCATAAAACTTTTCATCTGAATCAAGAACATTTACAATTTCTTCAGGTATATGATTTACTTCGATTTCTGAAATTAATCCTTCGTCATTTTCTGTTATGCTGTTACAATATCTAGTACATCGCTTAATGCTTTTAAAAACCCATTTTTACACAAGACACCGTAATTCTTTGCCAAAGTTTAAGGATTCGCCTGCACATTTCTTCATATAACATCCCATTTTAACCTTTCCCGATATACTAGTCATTAATTTCAGTCATTATCCACTTCTTTAATCTGAAGCGCAACTTTGACTTCAAAGATTTATTAACGGATAAATCAAGCGATTGAATCTTTTTTTCTATCCACCCGGAATAATTGCCAATTTTGAATACTTGCCTACTAACCGTTTCGTATCATGAATGATATGCGCATACGCGCACGGCAAGAGTCCATAATTACAATTTCATGAGCATTAAATATTACAAGATGTGCGGTATCTACTAGATGCGCGCTATGTAAACATTTTGACGAATATAAAAAATCACAAGGTGCGCGGTATACATAAGATGCGCTTTATCGATGGGAAAATACGGTAATCACATTCATTCCAGATTTGTTGGTGGGAACTTCTGCACAAAATAATATAAAAAGTCATTCACTCCCGCTTCATTGCGTCTGCTTCAAGAAGCTAAATAAACAAGAGCTTCACATTTTGCCAACCTCTGCGTCGAAGCACATTGACCATTTCTATTGCGTAACATTTTTTATATTCTAGTCGTATTTTTGTTGTCCATCCGTATGCCACAAGACTATTGAAAACAAAGTTGAACCCGTCGATTCAACATCATAGCCACGTCATATAAATTATTCTGCCTGTGTTGCATTTTCAGATTGATCGCAAACGCTCGAAAATGTCCTTCAGCGCTTGTTGAATATTTTTATTTAAAAGTACATTTTTCTAGTCAGCCGTCAGGGAAGCCAAGGCGAATCGCAACCGTACGCATCACGGCATGATCGTAAGTTCCGCACGCTAGTCCACACCAGAACACGATGATGCCGAAATGTTTGTCAGGTCGACGACTCGCTACTCGTTTCTCAGTTGGTCACGTTGAAGCACAGTGAGGTGAATTGGTCGC